ATGTAAACTTATTAATCAGAAAATCAGATAGACTGTACAAAGCCTGGAGGTGAATAGGCAGGCACTTATTTTTAAGCTACATTTTAAAAAACAGTTCTCAAATCTCTTCACAAAAAAATATGCCTTCTGGATAATCAAAGACACTTGATCCAAGACAGCACTTTCCTACTTCTACACTAGTTATTCCAACGTCTTTCAGTCTGAAGATCACTCAAAGTTCCCAACAGAAATGCTGACCTTGTCTATGGAACTGGAGCCTACTGACAACAAATCTGTTTTAAAACATTCATTTCAGAATTTTTATAGTGGTTTGCTGATTACAGGTTGAAATGCACTGCTATCAGCACGTGCTTAAACCTCACTCAACTCACTCAAGGTTAAATATCTTTTTCTAGCCCTGACTTTGGGTCTATTTGATCCCAAGAGTCCAGGGTCAGTCATATAACAAAAGTCATGATTTTATTTGGAGATTCGTAAGAGCAGGAGTGCTGCTGATGGACACAGAGGATGCAGTTAAGCTGCAAACAGGAAAAAAAAAAAAATATATATATATATTAAAGGGAGGAGACCATTTTAGTCAGTGTGGATTGTACAATACAGATTTCAGTCTGACTTATTCAGCAATTGGAGCAAGGAAGCTTCTATTAACCAGGACTTTGTGATCTAGGAGACAGCTTTATAGCTACATTACTGTGCCTTGCTGCTGTGGGCAAGCTTTAAATCAACACAGAATGGGATTACCGATCAGTCTGTGCATTTCCCTTTTTTCCCTCATGGCAAGAAGGATAAATCCCTCAGAGCATCAAAAGCAGGCAAAAATTGCATAGCATGGCAGCTAGTAAGCCCAGAGGCAGACTCTGTTAGCTGCCCCAAGATCTGAAGAGTCAAAACCACAGCCTCCACTACGAGGTATATTTCAAAAACTGTGTTAGTTCAGCTTTTTTTTTTTTTTTAATGCTTACTTATTAACTTTCATCAGTTGGGTAAATAAAAAATGCAGAAACCAGAGGGTTTGTCCCGGCTATTAATCTCCAAAGTTTGGTTTTAAAAAGGTGGTCAACATTCCACAGAGTAACCGTGTGATGGACAGATTAAGAGCAGGCAATCAAAGTGCTATCAATTCTACTTTGGGGTATCCTCAATGTCAATCTTGCTCTTTACTCTTTCTTCAATATTTCTGAATAAGAAGATGCTTCTGAAA